AATCCGGAGATATAAGTTTATAGTATAAGTTTCAATGTATGTTTTTTCTAGTAATTCGCCCTGTGCTAAGAAGCTTGGGTCTTTGTGCTTAGCCCATGACTATCTTGCTGTGCTCTTTGTCTCAGGCGGGTTCTGGTCAAATAGTTTCTCAGCCCATTTACCTACCATTTACCTCCCCCACCCTCCTCCTTTAACACCACTACAAGTTTGTATAATGCTTACCAGGTCTTGGATATGCATTTGCTAGCAATCAAAATCTTAATGATCTCGGCATGCCACACAACTAACATCTTTCCCGTGTAGGTAATCCTGTTAGGACTTACCTTCAACGCGGACCGTAACTGGTATTTTCCTGAGCATCTAATTCCCTTAGCATATCGCTGTCCTCATTTATGTGAATGCCAAGTGAATCTGCGATGCAGATCCTTACTAGGTGAGGAATCCCTGGCCCAAAGTCGCAACTTGTCCTGATCACGGGATCTGCAAACCACCCAGCCACTTACGTAATCACGATTATATAACTTTGACGCTAATGCGTGCTTAACATCATGTGCAACTTTTGTCTTAGGCTCTTCATAAGGCCTGCTTACGACAGATGCTTGAGCGATGGCCGGACTGGGCTGGTGACATCGGTTTGTGCGTGCAGCGACTCCGGCTGCAGACCGGCGACAGTCACAGAATTTCAGCTGCGCAGTGGCCATTGGCAGATGAATATGCGCGTCTCTCAGTAATCGTGTGTGAACAATGAGGGGTGGTGATCAGCAGTGTAAATGTGAAGCTATACTAACGCAATGCTGGACATACCTGCTAATATGATGGCTGCGTGATGGTTATCCGCTATCCCTCACATCCGGTCACCCGTTAAGGCCAGCACTGGTAACGGAAATAGGAAAGCACTGATTCCGCAAATTATTCCCGTAACTCATAACTTCATAACTGGCTAGATTTTTCAGCCAGGTATTACGCCATCGGTCAGACAATGCAGGGCCGAGTGTAAGGCGTCAGTGAATGAGTTTGTTTCCAGATGTGTGCCATTGCGCAGCAGTGTGGCCTACTAGTGGCTGAGTCACCATAGGCGAAACAAACGGTTTTCCCTAAATACTATAACGTCCCTTATGCTGCGTAATGATGCACACAATATTTGTATGATTCATGACATCCTTTGATGCATGAATTTTCTGGGAATAAGAGATTCATGCACACATCCCAAGTAATTAAATCAATTGAGTCTGCCTCTGCAGTCCGCTCTTCTCACCACAAGAACACGTCACTTGCCGATTCTTCATGTTGGTACCATTTTCGGTAGAAGTCTATGTACTGTAATTTCCGCTCGAATGGAAGAATGATTCATTTTCAAACGGAAGGGAGAATTATCCGATTTTTGGCGCTAGCTTATTGCTTGAAGTGCCCTGATGAAAAGCGCAAGCACACAAAAGCGCAAATAGCACATTAGTACCGCAAACACGGGCCAGTTGAAAATATAATTTTACTCTTGAGTTGACTTTTTCATTCTATTCGTTTCTATTGCTCTTTTCATGCCTATTTATGTACGCACTTGTCGCCATAGACGGCGGGACGGGGAGGCCGAGGTGTACCGGGGCACCGTGCCCCCTTTGATTTGGGCATTTTAACATTAGCCCTATGGGCGTTGCATGGAAAGAATGGGACCAAAAGTCGTCAGTGCCCCCCACCCCTTAATTGAAGGTGTTCCGCCGCTACTGCTTATGGCGATCCAGTAGAAGAAAGGCTACCGTTACTATGGATACTCACACTTCCTCTGTTACATGTTACTAATAACCATCATTTGAGGGGTTATTTTTATCGTTACGGTATGAGATGACTTAATTAACCCGCGCCGGGCCGGTGCTCCGCGACTTCCGCGCCGGGCTGGGGGGGGGGGGGGGTCTGAACACCTCCCGTCTAACTCGGCTCCTGGGCCACGTAGCGACACGCGGTAAGCGGTAATCGAAAAAAACGTCCAAAATAAGGACGAAAACTTTGGGTCATTTTTGGGTCAGGTCAAAGGTCAGGTCACCAGAGGTCACCAAAGGCAAAATGTTGCTATTTCAACATTTTGGAAACTGCCATCAGCTAACTCGGGAACCGATAGAGCTACAGCGACGCGGAAAAGCGCATTCGATAGCTCTTTTAACGCTCTTTCGCCAACATGCCTTCATATTTGACCTCAGGTCAACGGTTTTGCCTCCAGAGGGCAAAAACTCCAAAAATAACCATTTTTACGAGAAGTGTTTTTTTCGGCAATAACTTTTGACTCAAAAGAGCCACGACATTACTGTTGCCGGCATCGTGTTCCTTTCGTAGAGACGCTTCGAATGAACTATAATTTAACCTCAGGTCAAGGTCATGACCCGACCGGAAAAGGTCATGTTACATATCAGTCGATCCGCATCGTCGAGCCGAACACATCTAAGGCGTTTTCATCGCTCTAGCATGCCTATATCAGAAGTTATCAGCGAAAACTGTCAATTACTATTTGTGACCTGAAATGACCTCCGGGGCATAACGAGGGGTCACAGGTGCCATTTTCCGGCTCAGGGTGTCAATTTGACCTGCATCCCGATGTTTGAGATTGTCTAGAACGGCGTTCGTGCAAAAGAGACGCTTTTCAATTTTCTCCCATTGACTTATAATGGAGAGGCCGCAAAATTGACCGGACCTTAGGTCGCCGATATCAAAATTCCGAGATATACGTTTTATAGATACTGTTACGCTTATCAGTTGCTAAAAGTTTCAAGGCAATCGTTCACTCGGTGCAGCTATGACGAGCATTCTAATTTTTTCTGAGGTGAGGTCACTTGACGTGACCTGGTGACCTGACCTTGAGCGACCTGGGTCTGAAAGTTTCACAACCTATGCGGAAAAGATGCACAAGCAGGTGTGCCAAAACGTTTTTGAGATGCCTGCCAAAAACCGCAGGGGGTGTTCAAACACCCCCCTCCCCCCGGCCCGGCGCGGGTTAATACAGACTGTAACGTAACATGCAAAATATTTACTCAAGTATTTAGCATCCTGACGCTAAATCTCATGCGGATCGTCCTCAGCACGCTCGAGCACGTGGCTGTAATGACGACAAACCTGCAATAATACTTCCACCGTCCACGATATCAGGTGGCAGTCCCATTTCCACAAAAATCCAGACTATAGTTAACCAAGTTGGTTTGTTTTGTAAACTGGAAATAAATAAAAATGGTAGAATTATCGTTCACTTTGTATTAGGCAAAAATAAATCACTATGAATTTACAAAAAAAGTTTGGTCCCTTACCTTAGTGGGGAATATACACAGAACAACGTCAAAACAAAAACATATGCATGCATATTTACACATAACTGTCCGTGTATTTATGTACTCTGAACTCTCCCTATGTGTGTATGTTATAGGTATATGTACAGTTGCTGAACATAATTGTTTCATTTCATTTTAAGCCTCGCAATTAAACGTAAAGGGGGTCGGATGGACCTTCCTCGGTTTTCAGCGAAATCTCGCGAAACGAGCGATGGACCGCGACGAAACTTTCAGTACGTTTTAGTTTAGCAAATATAAACATAACCTTATCATTTTTGACCCGTCCAGATGACCTTTGACCTGCAGTGGCCTGTTTCTTGAGACCATATCGGGTCAGAGTTGTGATTTGGCGGACGTCAGCGCACATTATCCGTGCGTTTTCAGCCTTTATGTGATTAGAAACGTGCCAACGTTTGAAATGCTGTTTGGCCCATGCACACGAACTTTTTTGGGCAGCTCGTGTGAAGGTCAGGTCAAGCGTATTAACCTTAGTTGACCTTGCTTACTTTTCCGAGTTTTACCGGTGTCTTTGGTAGTTTTGAAATTTATTTTGAATTAAGGACCCATTTGAAAATTTGATGATTTTTTTTTTGTGCCTAAGCATTAAAACAGCATGTTCCCAAGCTGAGTCAGTGGTGGTTGACACCGTCACCGACTATGGATAGCTGGTGGGACACCTACCGGTTGACCTGACCTGAGCTGACCAGACCTTCCCAATATATACGAATGCATCATTTTGATAAAAATAATGTGGTATTCGAGATTAGGACCCTCAAGATACTCTAAACAGCCTCATATAAAATGCTCTAGCAGGTCCCGATTTTCCCGACTTTTAGGGTATTGACCTGGCCTGGAAGGTCTATCAATGATCTAGCACCTTAAAACTGGATACCATAAGCTTTCCCCCTCACGGGCAACACGGTGTTTTTTTCGCGAAGCTCTAACTCGATCAGGGGCCGAACGGCTCAGGGGGAGGGGTGGGGGAGTATCCAACGGATATGCCTACGTTAGCGGCTGGAAAACGCCAATACGAGCACCCGCGCATTTTTTATTCATACAAGCGTCAAGATACTGCTATTTATAGCTCAACACGCAGGGTACTGAACCTTGTAAGTACATATGCTCTTATTCATTTTGTGTTTATCGTTAATGCTCGCGGGGCGTAACATGGCAATTTACCAATGCACCAATTTTCTGCTTTTCGCTTGTTTCTCCCATTACATTCACAGTGGGCCACGAACAGTCAATTTGAAATAATTATGTGCTGGAGGAGCATGTTTCTCAGCATGCTTGGTAGGATAAAAATAACTGAATAGTTGCCACCACGGGCGTCGCTCTCGCTCAATTACGGCCGCACCTGCAGGGCCGCGCTGCCGGCCGCCGGCCCGGCTGGCGCGGACGTTGGCCCTCCCATCCCACGCCCGATGCACATGCACCGGGTATTTTTGGCTCCTCTGTCCGCCCCGCCTCATTATTTCTGTCCGTCCAGGTAGTGGCAGCCAAGGCTAGTTAAATGTGCAGCCACATGACTAAAAATAACCCAGCGGCCTCCCGAAATACGGGCGCTGCACGCGGTCGGCGCGGCGCGGCGCGGCGGGCGCGGCGGGCGCTGGGCGGCGGCGGGCGCTGGGCGGCGGCGCGGGGCGGCGGCGCGGCGTTGGGCGGCGCACCGACAGCCGCCTTGTCCCAGCTCGCCGACCAGCCGCCAGCAGTTCAGTCGCTCGCGCTCGCCGGTGCCGGACGGACGGACGACGGCGTACTCCGTGGCGGTCCGGGTGTGCGCCAGCACGGCAGCCTGTCGTGGCGGAGACGGAGACGGCGCCGGAGCCACGGTCCCCCAGAGGACCGGCGACATCACCGACCAGTCAGCAGGTCAGTGGACAGACCGGCGCGACGGGTCAACTCTGTGGGTGTCGGACTGGGTGTGACTGGGTGTCGGACTGGGTGTGACTGGGTGTCGGACTGGATGTGACTGGGTGTCAGCTGTTTTGGACTTGGGTGTGGTGAGTGAGTTGGGTTACGTTGCTAGTATTTTGAAGTGGAACAGGTCACCTTGGAATAATTTTTCAAAACCATTGTGTCATTGATTATTGATTAAGATGATATTTGCTGCGAATAATAATAGGTGCCATCTACTAAAATGTTATTAAGGATGTGCGTTCCATCCCATCAGGTGATCGAATTTAAACTTCAGCGACCTTAGTTGCCAACATCTGTTTTGTAGATATATTGGACAGGTATGTAGAAAAGAGCAAGTAGCCTACGAAGCAACAACATTTAAAAACATTTATTACAACATTTTTTTTCTCGAGTTTTCCTATAACTTCGAACCACGTGTCAAAGATGGGCTGTCCTTGACAATAAGGCATTTTTTATTACAATTCATATTTATTACAATATTATTTATATGATTTTTGTTTTTTCGAATAGTGATTTTGCAATGTTCTAATCTATCTCTTATTTCTATTTATTATTATTTTTACTCATTTTTGCTTTTGATAACCTATCACGCTCTGACTGCACCTATCCTCAAATCCCTTTTGTTATTCGATAGGTTTTTCCAAAGATGTATAAAAAAGTGTAAAGGACATGGCCATTGGGATACTTGTGATAGTCCCACGAGGGAAATTGTGCATTTAAATTTGGACAAAATCAAAGAAGGTATGGCAAAGTCACAATGGCTCGTATCATTGTTATAATTTTTTTACATAATAGCCAAATAAAGGTCAATATGTGAGGAAAAGCTATGGAGCAACGCTAGGTGAATGACCCGAGATACGAGCCGCTCTTACCAAATTGAGCCCATAAATGCCGAAATCATTACTTACCAGAATCATTATGCAATTATGAAAACAATTATTGCACCACTGAATGCAATGAAGGTCAGCTCAGGTCACGAGAAATTGACAAAAGACTTATTGATGAATCATGATCTAAACATTTCCGGTTTATGACGTCACAACAATATGACATCACGCTGAGTAAACATCAACATGCATAGATCAGATGTCCCTAGATTTTGGTAAACATTTCTGTGACCCGGTGATGTCACTGGACATCTAAGGGAACGGGTGCTTTGTAATGAATTACCCCTCTCTGTCCCCACGCCGAGCACCCCTCCCCTCCCAGCAGGTGGCCCAGGTTCCATGCAATGGAGCCCTCAATTACACTCTATGCTTATGATAGCTTAGCGTGTAAATGATGAAATGCATGTCCTCGGTGATTATTCAATGCATTTCAACCGTAAATATTCAGATTTTCTACATCCGTCATAACAATTTAAATAAAAACATGACATGCAATATCCGGAACTTGTAGCGAGGCTGCTAGTTGCATTGGAGTTTTCAGTTGTTCTGGCTCACAGCACTGGCGGAAGTTGACATACAGCCGCATTCGTTGTATTCTCCTGTTGTCATCTGACTGAGGGGCGGGGAGGGGCGGGGGGGGGGCGGGGGTAGCGCTGCGTCGGTCGCCGACCGAGCTGCTTCCATTCACGAGCGGCGGCTGGCGGGGAGGCACCGACGCTCCGCACCGGACCGCACCGGCTCGGCGCGGCTCTAGGCCGGCTCTGGGCCGGAGCGGCGGCCTCGACCGACGGGCCGTCCCCGCCGCCGCGCGCTCCAGCGGCAGCTGTGCAACATGCAGATGGCCCCACACTGTCACCCCCTCAGATGGCTCCTATTATCAGAGTCGTATAGCTCGGTGTACACGGGTCCCAAGTCGGAGTCAATGGGTATCGTTTGATCAGACGACAACGGGCATTGTCCCACTATCAGAGTTTTATCTTTGCGGGATATGTGCTCTCTGCACATTTACCAGATTGCTGGATTATGAGTGCATGACTATCCATGGCCTCGGCATTAAATGTTATGTAACTGATTTGTCACGTCATACCCGTGACGTCAGCTGTGCTGGCTTCTCGATGGGAGTTTGCGCAATGACTCATGATCAAGTTGTGACAGTCCCTCGTTCGTGGTTTGCATGGCGCTGGGCTTTAACTGGTGACCTTGCATCTGTTTGGATTAACGTGCATTGGCCACTCTTCGACACCCTATTATTCCAACTATTCCAATGCTGACTTACTCAATCACTTATTGCGCTATCTGCACACTGCAATGAGTCTAAATCATCCTTCGGGGGTCGCAAAAAAAATTATTGATGGATAAAGGGGACTTGGGTTATTATCTGGACGGCTACCACTTGTCAGTTCAGTTTTAATTCACGGAAACATGTGGCTATGATTCATACGCTGGCACGAAGCGGCAGCGCATGCCTTGCACCACGCTATGGGTCTGCTCGCAACCATATGACATAGGTCGTCGCAACAAGCCTGGTCGATCCTTAAACCTCTCTTCGGCGGTGAAACTTAACATACCTATCGTTCAGGTGGAAGGGGAGTAAGGCATGTGCTCATTTACTTGCATGGGAAACATACTGTGCTGGCAAAATAACGTTTCTAATCGCGTTGCATTGCATCATGTCGCAGAGCGGAGCAGAACTGCATTGTGATGAGTTCTGTTTGAAGTAGCCAATTTGTTTGAAACTTGTTGCTTTGACCTTCTATACCCGAAATATACCTATAGGTAAAGGGCAAACCGTTTACTCGAGGTTGAAATTTTAGAGGTGCCACTCCAATCTTCCTAGCGATTAAAGTTTCTTCGTTCAGAGAGATCTTTGAGTCGCTAAGAGATAGAATATGGAGTGTTGATTAAAAAGGGCTTATGAAGCGCTTGGCTGCCTTTTATCAGTTTGAAAAGGGCTTTACATCTATCTCGTACATCATAGAGCAATGTGATCAAACTGTTTCATTCTAATGAGGTGCCAGCCCGACGGATAAGTCCAAACTCTTTGGCTGTTGCCAGTTTCCAATGACTGAAGTGTCAAATTACTCAGTTGAGGTGACATGAGAAAGCACTTGATTTTTATTCAACCAGTCCACTTTGTGGTTTCACTTCACTATGTGAAAATCGACCACTTGTCAGCACCGCGTCAGGCGGCCTGCGCCTACACCATATCGCTCGGAGCGCGGGCGGACGGGTCTTCCCGACACCCCTGGGCGGCGCAATTGGTCAGTTCGCGGTGTCACCGGGTGTCACCGGGCCTGGTGACACCTGACTGACACCTGTGTCACTCAGAGTGCCGCTGCGGATCCTGCTCGGACGCAGATCCGGTCATGTCGGGCGTCATCTGGTCACTCTCCTGACATCCCAGCTCCGGTGAGAGCACACAGCCGCCGAAAATCGCGGCCAGGCGGGGGCGACAGAGTGGGGGCGAACCTGATCCTGTTCGGAGCAAATTGCGATTGTAAAAGTTTCGCTGAAAACTGTTGATGATTTATCTTGACTTTGGCAAGTGAGAACCTGTGTGTATTATCAGTTGACCCTCGCCCGTATTGGTGTTTTGCCAGCCGCGAACGTGGGGGGGGGGGCGTTGGACCCCTGCCGTTCGGCCCCTGATCGAGCTTCGGGAAAGATGAATGTGTTGCCCGTGACGAAAGGAAGCTGATGATACCCAGTTTTAAGGTCCTAGGTCATTGGTTGCCTTCCAGGTCAGGTCAATGACCCAAAATTCGGGAAAATCGGGACCTGTTAGAACTTCGTAAAGTGAGGTTGTTGTAGGGCTTTTCGGGGTGCTGATCTCGATTTTCATGTTAGTTTTGATCACAGGTGATGTCTTAATGCATTTAGGCTAGGTCGGGTCAGGTCAAGTCAGGTCAACCAATAGGGGTCCTGCGGGATATTCATAAATAGGTGTCAGAAAAATCACTGCCCAAAAGTCGTAAAAATTGACACCTTTTTGCGTAAATTGACCTGAAGGATGCGGGGCATGGTCAAATGCCAGCGATGGTACTTATAGCTATCGCTGCGTGCCACAACCGCGCCCCGCATGCTGCTTTTGCAATGGTGCATACGGGGCCGGACCTCCGATGGCTCTGGTCTGTGCGCCTCCCTATTACACTGCTGCCAAAAATAGGTGCATCTGGTGGAAGTGCACAGTGGTGCTTACTGCTTACACTCCACCCTAAATTCGGATAGATACTGCTAGCATGTCCAGCATGTGCTGGCCGCACCCCCTGTTCCACATGTCATGATAATGCAAACATTTTCTGCATACGTGCACCTCGTGATGATTTTCAAACAAGCGAAAATGGCCATGCAAAGCTGTCTTTGTTGGCAAAAATGACATATTATTCCCATTTCATGATCTATGAAATATTCATAATTCTGATGTGATATGATAACGAATATTTATACAAAAATGAATTAGAGTTAACTTGCGTACTCGACGTGAAGCACTTCAGTGGCTTTATGATTATCTCAGGACTGGAGCGGTCGGTCGGCCAGAGACAAAATGCAAGTCATGGTTGTCCCGTTAAAGCATCGACTTTTGGTGGATAACACTACTAATCCTGTCAATGTGTGACGAAACAGTTACCAGCGTGTATACGGAGGTGCTGCCTGAGCGTGACCCGAGCCACGTGGCCAGATAATCCAGCATTTTCTGCATTCTTCAGCACAATGCATGTCGGTAGCTCATGCCTCTCATCCATGTTATGAATGAGTCATTTGTAAAACATGATCGCGCAATATGATGCCGTGACATCTCAGCTCTTCAGAACATACGTAGATTGCTTAAAATACCTTGCAGACACATCCATTGAAGTCCAACTTGTCCACAAGTAGGCTGTCGCGTTATTTCAGTGGCATACTGAAAGAGTACACTCTGCCGAATAGTCGATTGTTTGCTATTGACTATTTGCTAAGACCCTTTACTCTGGACTTTTTACTACAAAAAGCTGACAAAAAGTAAAAACTGTTGTTGGGCAGTGGGCTGTCGACTTCGGACCGTTGAATATCAGTTGCTGACTGCTGGCTGTATATTCGTATTGATGACCAATAATTGTCAACTGTTGGCTATTCTAACAGTCTAATATGAATAATGATTGTCAACCGCTGACTTTTAGCTGTTGAATGTTGAGTGCTGACTGTTGATTGTTGACTGATTGTTACTCAAATGACGTCCTGTTTTCGGGACGTCCCATGACGTCCGAACACTAGCGTGAACACAATCTGCTTAGGACCTAGTCTCGGCACTGCCACCGTTCACGTGCTCGGCGGGTGAATATCAGCACTAGCAGCAACCCTGGCCTAGATGATAGCTCCTCATTGAGCTCACACAGTTTTGGCGGCCATTGCTGAACCCATGACAGACGGAGCTACCTGTAATGTCGGTCTGTCTGTCAGTCACAGGACAATCACAGGAGGTCACAGGCTCGAGGGTAGACAGTGAGTCAGTCGTGTCGACACGGCGACCTTTGGTCCAGACAGCTGCTGTGTCCGCATCGGACCAGTCCGACGCCCGTCGTCAGGGCCGCGTATAGTGGGACCACCCCGTCCAGGCTTTATGTCTCACGGACATGCACAGCTCCCTCAGCGGGACTCGGCACATCGTGTGCCCGTCTTTGTCATGACACACGTATGTAATGCTGTAATACAGCTCAGATTTGTGATAAACGGCACATACAGATTGCTGTCTTTATTGTACAGCACGTGCTTACTGGAATAAACGCGGCTGCTCATGCAATGTTGAGACATACTGAATGTGCTTAAGTTCATATTCAACACATATTGATGGTCAATGTAATCGTATTGTTGCATGTTTTGTGTTCAGCGTTCGTGCCTTTTGCCTATTGAGCTCTTTTTTTGCATTCTGTTTCCCCTGGGCCTCGTTCTATGTTGTGCTTTTAAGACAGGCACCTATAGCTTCTGGCACGAATCTTTGGTGGATACACGTCATTCGGTCAATGCTAAGAGAAAACAGGCCTGTAGCATGACTCACAAGGGTACTGAGTAACCCTAGCGACTGGAGAAGATGGCTAACGGTGCTTTGGTGTCACTTATATCTTTGTCATTTTTATTTTTGCCCGATTGGCGTTCGCAAAAAAAGGATGATTCGATCTGATTCGTGCCGTCCATCCCATTAAAACTTTAGTTGTCATCTGTTCCTCGCCTTACTGAATCACAGTTGGGTTACCACAGATTCGACATCATGACTTACAAAACTATAAACGCTCGCTAGTCCCTTTGGCCCGAAAGGCATATAATCTGTCCGCTAATTTGGTAATGTGGCGACAAGCGACGCCGTTCGGCCGGCCGTCCGTGCTGCCGACAGTTAGGCTAGTGGGCAGCCATTTTCGTTCATTACCGGTGCGTGTGACTTTGCTGTTGTCGAAGCTGGTCAGGCCTGCCGTTTACCGAGCCGTGACTCGAGCTGTGCTTTATAGGGACGGGGAAATAGAAGGGCCTGGACACGGGAGTTCGAAAATGGAGTGCAAACACTGCATGTTAATGGTACTACCACGGGGTGCTTGTCATTGGCATTACGACATCGCCACTTCATCATAATTTATTGAAAAAATGACAATTTTAATTGACAATCAAAGATGGATGAAATTTATTTGATAAGATACACTGCACTTTGTTTATTCAGCTATACACCTGATTCGATTACTCAGATACTGCAGATGAATGCATGAATGTAGTCAAGCATGTCCATCATGTGTGTAAACGACTGGGGCATGCTGCATCTATGCAAGAGCTCGATGCGATCAGATGCTTGTGGTCAAGTGCCTTTCAAAATCCCGCGCTTAAATAAGTACCCGTTGACCGTAAGCTGAAGTAAGTAATACCTAATCCAGTGGCGTTCCCACTCTGTATCGTGCTCGGTGTTGTCACAGAAGCCTCAGCAGCAATTATCGACGATCGGCCTGGGCTGGCCTGTCGTCACCGGCTTAATCCGGTCTGCAGTACAAACACTCTAGACATTTTCTGGGCCGGCTCCGTCCCGTGTGAGTGCGAGGTAAACACATCGTACGACAGTGTATTTATTCCGTGCTCTTTAATGTCATCCCTATCGCGTTTCGGCAGCTCAGACACGCACGTGACTCATGATATGGCACATTACTGAATGTCTCACGACCTGTGACGTCTGCTGACATGGTTTATGCATCAATGAGGTCACACGCTGGTAGATTGCGCCCACCGCCCCCACCCCGGCCGGTCGGCTCGCCGGCCTCGCGTTCAGCTCCGACCGTCTCCCCGTCAGGCGGCGCTGCGATCGCTCGGTTCCGAGCTAACCATCATGGCCGACCGAGCGGCCGATCTCCGACAGCTGAATCGGATCTCTTACCGGCCTGTCATTGGTCGCCGAGCCGGTGGGCGGAGCCTGGCGATCCATGGGTTTCACATATTTCTGAAACCGGACTGACTCCGTGGGAGCGCTGGGCTCAGGGGGCGTTGAACTGGTGCCCCGAGCTGTCCATGGGTCAGTGCCGCACACAAAACAGGGCCTCAATGCTGGAGTCTGTTAGTGGCCGCTGACGGGCACCCCTGATCAGTGGGAACAGCTCCCATAGGGACACAGCCCTCCGGAAAGGCCGTTTTACCAGGTGGGTAGGGCTTGTCCTTGGGAATGAGCTCAGCCATTTCGCCGCACCAGCTGATCTGTCCAAAATATCACCCCCCCCCCCCCTCCCTCATCCTTTGTGACTACGGTCGAAATTAAAAAAAGGGTCTAACCCATTAAAACAAGCAATTAATTCTTCGGTTAAGGCATTTTAGTGCGTATCGTTATGTCTCGAACCAACGCTGAAATAAAAACGAGAAGCGTGACATTCGTCTTTGTCTCCTTGAGATGTGCTTATTTTTCCCTGACCAATGCTCTGGGCTGCATGTATCCCCTACCGGAAACCAATGGGGTCAGTTCCAGCCTTCAATAGTTGTGCACCCCATCGCGTTAACCGGGCCCTCGGGGCGAGTCGAAGGGCTGCGAAGGATTTAACTTGTGGTCACTTCACCCGTTCGCTGGTGGCTACGTTCCACCCTCATCTTCGCATCTCACGATCCTGAATTTGTCTCACTGGAAGAAATCGTGTCAGGTAACTCAGTAAAAGAAAGTGGAGGCTAAAGTCAGTTGTCTGTTTAAGCAAATACACATTTGTGGGGAATACAGTCCAGCTATCAATTCCATTACTTACATGAATTTATGAAGGAGTCAAAAACTACACCTTTTTAGGCGCAAGTTCAAAAAGGTAAAGACCAAATTCAAAAAGTTTACGTTCGAAATGCACATGAACGTTTTGAATTTGGTCTTTAACTTTTTGAAATTGCGCATAAAAAGGTGTAGATCGGAATCCTTCCATTTTTGTGAATTGTTTCGAAGCGCGCAGGTTGACATTTTTTACTTATGCGTCTTAGTACCATTGCAGCTTTTTTATCTATATTTACTGCGCAGTAGAATCATTTTTCAGCCTTCGCCCTACACCTTTGACTCTTACTTTACACGCTAATATATGTTGTAAAACAGTATTTTTCCTTCAAGTGCAACGCTTTTATTTAAACAAGAACTTTACAAAGGCTGCGTAACAGGGGAACCCGACAACAAAGTTAAAGAAACTAAACCAATATGGAATGGAATATGGTGTGGATGAGAGCAGGTAAATGGCTGATTTCAGTTTTACCAATTTGGAAATTGAATCGTAGAATTGGCTAACCTTCGATGCATAAGATCACCGACTCTTGAATCGATGAATGACAAGTGTGATCGAAAAAAATATTTTACATAATTGAAAATTCGTTAACGATTGAAAACCAGCATGAAACATAGTACAACTAGTTTTTTATTATTAATATTTCCGTTACACCGTCATTTGCAATTAAGAATATTAAAGCGATCTTTTCGCGCACCGCTAGCTACACTCTTACTGCAATTGGGACGGTATTCTGTACAAGCATTCGTGCCTTTGCTAATTTATGAGCCTGCTCCCTTTCCTTCAGTGATTTGCATATTGATTCTTTATTAGTTGGACTTGGATATGCTAATACTTTGTTAGCAGAGTGCTAGTACCAAAGAGAGGTTTTCTTCCTTGCAAAGGGAAGCTTCATCTTTATGCACTGCAGTTTTAAGTGATGGTCATAAATAATTATTCGCAATCATAGTGCCGCTAAAACTCATTTCCTTTGTATTGCTGATTAAAGCTACCTAGGTGCCTAATTATAAAAAACGTTATTTTGGGGCTTTTACAGAATCATAAAGAATCAAGGCTGTCAGCAAAAGAAAATCACATATATTGAACGATCGTCAATCAACGATTGTATCTCGTAGCACATACTTATCAATTTCGCTCACGTCCCAATTAAAAGGTAACCGATCTAAAGCAGTGGCTCACTCGTTATTAAGCACAAAAAGGTTCATGCACAGATATTTAAAACAACAAATAATTTCGGTCAAATAATTCAATAAAAATAATAATTCAATAATTCAAACAATAATTCAAATACATAATTAAACACGCCAAATTTTGTTCCGCCGAAGACGATCTAGCATCTCTCCTTTTCGGTAGGAAATCTGAGTCGGTACCGGACAAACTGCACTAGCTAATGTCAAATGCCACTGCTATTGACTAACACTAACCGTAGCCACGGCACCCACGCGAGGTCAGCTGTGCTTCACGTGATGTGTACACGTGCACAAGTGTAAGTGGTGCGTTATCACGCACCTCTGGAAAACGGCGCCCGAAATAGTGTGAAGTGGTCTTCGGCTGGACACTTTATTACGACAAATGTAGCCATGTCATGCTCGATGCAATGGAGGAGGTCTGTATTTAGGCTACGCATGCAGCCCGGATGGCATAAAAACTAATTCACCCCAGTCAGGAATGTATGCTGTGTAATGCGTGCAAGTCATGTTGTTGCTAGGAGCCGGCTGTAACACCTGCGTTTCTGTCTCTTCCTCGCAGGTGGAGTCCGGTGCTATGATAATGAACGCGCTGTACCCCGACGGCAGCGTCCTGGCGGCGCCTCCGCCGCGCAAGGAGCATCTGTCGGTGCTGCCGCCCGAGCCCTCGTCGCCGCCGACCGCCGGCGGGTCATCGCCGGCGCTGCCGCCGCCGCCGCCGTCATCGTCAGGAGGGCGCCGCCGACTCGGCTCCAGCCAGTCGGGCAGCTACGACTGCCGCTTCTGCGGGAAGCTCTTCAGCAACCGCAGCAACATGGTAGTCCACGAGCGCACGCACACCCACGAGCGGCCGTACACGTGCAGCTACTGCGGGCGCACATTCTCGCAGCACGGCCAGATGGTGATCCATGTTCGATCGCACACCGGACAGAGGCCGTTCAAATGTCCTCACTGTGTCAAAGCGTTCACCTCCAGCAAGGTCCTCAAAATTCACATCCGCACGCACACGGGTGAGAAGCCGTACGCCTGTGAACACTGCGATAAGCGGTTCGCAGCGTACGCAAACCTTGTTGTGCACAGACGAATCCACACGAAAATCCGTCCATACAAGTGCGAGTACTGCGGCCGCACGTTCGAGCACAGCGGGAACCTGCAGCGGCACACCAAGATACACCTGCGCGACCTCGGCAAAATGCGCGAAGTGGCGGCGACGTCCGCTTCGTCAGCGACGCGCGTCCCGGTCCTGGTGCCTGTGTCCGAGGCGGTGCGGCGCTCCCCGCCTCACGTGCCCACGTCTCCACAGCGCCTCGACCTGCTGAGAGCGGCCGCAGGGCCGCCCCCTCCCGCGCACATGCCTCTGGTGGCAGCGCCGCAACTGCAGCCGCCAGCGCAACTGCCGGTCCAAGAGCGACAGCAGCATCAGGAGCCGGAGAGCCGTCACAATCACATTGCTCACCACCTTCAGCAGCTGCAGCAGCAGGAGCGCCGAGAGCAGCTACAGCAGCGTCAAGAGCAGCTACAGCAGCAGCGGCAAGAGCAGCTGCAGCAGCAGCAGCAGCAGCAAGAGCGGTCCCAGCTGCAGTCGCAGCTGCAGTCCCCGCTGGCGCTGTCCATGTCGCCGCGCGACCATTCTGTCCGTCCCGGAGAGGCTGTGGAGCCGCCGAGTCTGCGCTGTCGCCTGTGTCAGGTCGCCTACAGCTCTCCCGGCGAACTGCTTGAGCACCGCTGTCCGCAGCTGCGCGAGCAGCTCGAAGGGCGCGCGAACGGAGTTCGGGAGCGGCCGGGAGGGGACGTCGCCGGACTGCCGACCAGCTTCATCGAACTGTACGACTACATCAACCAGCTTCGGGAGCAGGCCCACACCCAGCAGCGGGGACAGCGACAGCAGCGTCAGCGGTCTGAGCCCGACACGCAGCAGCAACGGAATCACGAGGAGCACCATGACCCGCGTGAGTACCAGGGGGAGCCTGAGCAGAAGAGACAGCGCCAGGGGTCTGGTCAGCAACAGTATTTTTCCGATCGTCAACAGCATCTACATCCCGTTAATAATCATCACCATCGACAGTATCAATATCATCACCATTATCCGGAGCTCCCGGAACAGCCACTATACGTGCTGCGACAGCAAGAGCTCGCCCGTCTTCACCAGCATCACAAACAGCAACAGGAGGAGCAGCTTCAGCAGCTGCAACCCGCCAGGGACCCGTCCCACCGACATATCTACTACCTCCCTAGTCAGGGCCAGCCGTGGGGGAGTCAGCCGTCGCGACCATCGCTCTCGCCAGACGGATTCTCAGCGCACCGGTCGCCGTCGCGCCCCGAGTCCAGCCGGTACGGCGGGGAGACTGCCGGGTCGGAGCCGACGCTGCGCCGATCCCAGTCGTCCAGCACCGACTGGCAGGTGCTCTCCCTGAGGGCCGGCTTCCCGGCGGCTTCGCGAGCGTCCGAGACCGCCCCGCCGGCACCGGCGGCGCGCACCGAAAAAGCCGGTGTGCCAAAGTTCACCTGGATGTCGACGTATCTGGCGGAGGGTGGCGAGGAGCGGCGCGGCGCGCCCTCAGCGCCTCAGGCGCCGCAGCGACCGGACGTGATTCGTCCTCTGCCGCTGACGGTGTCGGCGTCGGGCCGACCTGCTGGCGGGGCCGGCGAGTCCCCGCCGACTGGTCGGCCACCCTCTGCTCAGCCGGCCTCCCCGGCTGACTCGGAACACTCCGAGTCGCGCCTTGTTATCGACGAGGCGAGACAGGAGACCGACGACACGAAACAAGGGGCCGACCGGGCTCGGCACGTGAGCGAAGGTACGGGGCACCTGAGCGACGGAATAGGGCATGAGACCGATGGGACAAGACCAGGAGGCGCCGCAAATAGACCTGATACCGACGAGGAGGCCAAGTCGCCGCGGAGGAAGCGCGCACTCCCTGCCCTGCTCCCTATTGGTCAGTTTGGCCAGTGAAGAGCTCATGACGATCGCTCCTTATAGGTGCCTTACAATGCGACGGCGTCGACTCCCCGAACGCCATTTGACAATAGTGTTTGGTGTTGGTGTTAAATGTATTCAGCCAGTGTCTAAGTCAGGACCGGATGAAATTTGGGGCGTTATTTTGGGAGACTGTTGTGTGCCGTGTTGTACAATGTGTGCCGAAGTTCGGCCTATTGTCACGGGTTTATTTTGTTCAATGCTGCTGCGTCGTGGCGGTGGTGTTTCGTTGGCGCGTGTTGTAAACGTCTGCTAACTAAGTACATGTCTCGGCTTGGGCTGTGTAACGTTAGAATGGGTCCGTTGTTACCTGAATGTTAACGCGGGGGTGTTAGCCAGTGGGGAGGGGAGAGGGCTGCGGATCTCGCAGGGCACACTTGACTCGAGTTGTAGGACGTCGCGGGTTCTGCGAGGATCCCAGAGGATATATCGCATGTACAACAATCTGAAAACACCAGTTTGGCTCATCTTATGTGCCTCGGAAAATCGAGTACAAATCGCGAACGCGTCAAGACAATGCGTGTCCCAATAGGCAGCCGTTTCAAATAGGGCATAGTCCATACCATATGGCATTGACCAAAAATAAGTTATGGTTAAGTCTCTCATGTTCACATGTGGTTGTAGACTGTTGGTGATCACAGCGCTAAATGGTTGATATAAAAGGTACAGCTAATTTCCAAAGCTTGTTGTCGCGTCTGAGACCTGAGACCTCTACAAAATGGCGCTGTGACTCATGCGGGAACGGTAGCCAACGAAGTCGCTCTGCTTGGCTTTCATTGTTGCTTTTTGATGTGATACGTGGCTATTTATCCGGCACTTTTGTGTGCATTGTTATACTGCCGCTATCTTTGTGTTGTTGTTGCGTGGGCGCACATTGTGTGTGAAATAAATTAACAGAATTGGACTTCTTCTCGTTTCTGGACTTGACAGTTGAGTTGTGTTTCTTGCTCACATCATTAAACTAGTTATATCAGTAAGTGCTTTGACTGCCCATTCCCTGAAGAATATGGTAAATGACAGTTAGATGACGCTTTATCTCAGATGGCTAGGTATATGTATCTTTGAGGACTGAGCTAAGTATTTCAAATGCATCACTAATCATAACAACCGTTTAAAATCCATAAGTCACATTTTTTGTATTTATCAGACCTTTAATTCACCGTTGGAAAATAAGCCGGCTTCATTGCGGACTCTCCTGCATACACTTTGTACGGGGTCGAATGCGCGCGTTACAGATTGACAGCGAGTTGCAATTAGGTATATCGCTTTGCCGGATACGCTGCACGCAGTTTGACAGTTGAAGCATCGCACGCGAGCGAGACCAAACTGGGCTGAGCTTATGCGTGAATAATCGTGGTAATGTCACCATTTTACGTCATTCTTGCGCCCGCTGCAGTTCTGAAACTTGTGCAGTATTTCATTGAGCACGAAATTTAGACTGGTTAGCGGTCACGTCACAGAAATATTGAGCCAATGAAAGGAAAGTGCAGACGTGCATTATAGAAGGGCATTACTTCATTTGCCCCGCCACTTCGTTGCACGCACCATCACATATTCTCCGTATTCAGCATGAAAACTATAACTATTTCAGGCCACCGCACACTTCATTCGCCCGCTTCTTTCGGCCATTCAAGTAGCGATTTTCTAGCGAAAGTGTCTTTACTGGCCAAATGTCTGACCGAATGTATCCAACATATAGGCTCATTCGGCTCCTATTATCGGAGATTCGGTTCGAAGTCCAAACATCATTTACGTAGTGACCATGAAGAAGCTTAACCGGTTGAACGTCTGTCGCCGATGCAGCGTTGTAGCAGGCGCAAATCCGCAGCCGCCATTTTGTTTTGTTTTCCGACAACCTTCCTACCGTATCCTGGGCTGCAGTCCAGGATACGGCTGTTTGCGCATCGGAGGCCGCAGCACCACGTTAATGTTGTGTGAGATAGATATTAACTTAATATTTGAAATAAGGTTGTATTCAAGTCATATAATTATTTTGCTAAGTGTGTAACCCTCGCACTTGTAGAGGGGGGATGGGGGGAGTCGCATGGACCGCCCTTGGTTGTTCGCGAATAACTCGCGCAAACAGCGGCCAATCACGACGTAAGTTTCAGTACCCTCAAGTTGATCAATTTTACACCTCTCTGGAAATTTCATGACCCTTACCCAAATGACCTTTGACCTATGACCTATTTCTCGATACTATGATTAGTCGGAATCGCGGTTTGGCGTATGTCAGCTCACATTATCCGCGTGTTTCCATTTTTTATGATTGCTAACGGTGGAACACGTGAAATGATGTTATTCCCATGCGTTATGATGAGTGTCAAGGTCACATGAAGGTCAGATCAAGGTTACTGGCCTTTGATGACTTTGGTTCACCTTTTCGAGTTTTACATGTTTCCACGGTAGTTTTTGGAGTTGATTTCGAGTTTAACATCAACTTGAACATTCATGAAGTAGTTTTAGTGCCCTCGTAACATGTACGACGCCGTCAGCAGTAATTGACACCTACTATGGATAGCCGGCAGAACGCCTACTGATTCACCTGCCTGACTTGACCCGACCTGGCCTAAATGCATGAAGACATCATCCGTGATCAAACTAACTTGAAATTCGTGAGCAACTCCCTGAAAAACCCCATAACAGCTTCACTTTAAGAAGTTCTAGCAGGTCCCGACTTTCCCGACTTGTTGGCCATTGACCTGATCTGTAAGGTCAACCGATGACCTAGGACCTTAAAATTGGGTATTAACGTCTTCCTTTTGTCACAGGCAGCACACTCATTTTTTCCGCGAAGCTCAGTTCGATCGGGGGCCGAGCGGCAAGGGGGTCCAACCGACCCCCTCCCTACACGTTAGACGCTGTAAAACGCCGCACACAGGCGAAAGTTGACACTGTTATAGTGAGTTTCTTGGCACTCGGCCGGTGCAATTCAGACGATTTTCCGCTATGTTTCCGTTGCCATGTTTCGCTCAAAAAGAGCACATTGTCCATTCGGCCGCTTCATTCGGCGGTTACAGATTACAGAAGCGATTCCCTCGCGCACGCAAATTTTGATTCTTTTGTTTTGAGCAGAGCATGTCATATATCGTCTGAATTCTACATATCGAATGGCAAGGAACACAAATACTTGTAGTTTGTGTTCAATATGATGCCACCTATAATATTTCTTGGTAACTCGGCTAACATATGCAGAGACGTGAGTCGTACACGCTGAAATCGCCACTGCAGCGGCAATAGCGGCCGAATGGATAGTGTGCGGTGACTTTCAGAGCCTATTCTGATATTGACAGTGTCGATAAGAAATTTCAAGAAGCAAGTAAATGGCACATCAATTGACCTGTGCGCCGCTGTGATATTCGACTGAATTTTACATGTTTGTAGGGCAGTTTTTGCGCCGATGCAAAAACTGTGCGCCGATGTGATATTCAACTGATATTTACATGTTTCTAGGGTAGTTTTTTTTAGTTTAGATAGAGCAGGGTTGGACTCGGCCTGGTGAGAGATTATTCTGCTTGCATGACATTCAAGCGGGTAATCGTAAAATGAAAGAAAGAAACGGCAGTCGAACAAGATGGATATTAAACGCACAACATGTGCTTGTTAAAACATGTTGGGTCGAAGCTGGATCAAATGTCGTAAACCCAAACTTTTTTATCATTCGCATCGAAGCTAGGCTGGCCAAATGCTGACTGACGATGATCACTCAAAACGCGTTCGAAGGCAATCACAATAAGGTGCAATGCATGAAATATTTTATAAGGTTCGAGGTAAAATTCTGTTCATAACTAAGTTATTGAATAAAACATGTGCGGCACGGGTGATTTTTTTATTTGGCTTAGCGAACGTGTTGATGCCGAATACTTGGGTACTTTTTTGGACCTGCACGTCGCAAGGTCAGGTCGTTAAATGTAAAAGCGTCTCGCTTTAAATAGATCAAAGGTTTCTATTCACGATATATTTTATCATGAATCGCTGTCGTGTGGCTTATGGCATGTCTGAGGAATGGCATGGGTCATGGCACTTGCACCGTCTAAATATACCTTTATTGAATTACGTGATGTTTACCATGTTACCGGGATGTGATGCTGAATTTGAGCGGCATTCCGTGGCGTGGCCGCTAAATACATCCAGCACCAGAAAACACTAACATTTTAAAATAGCATTCGGAACATCATGACGTTTTAGAAGTTACTGGGACTGCTCACACAACTTGCGCTCATTTGTATTTTTTAAAGTCCATTTTTAGGTTTGTAGTGACAGTGAAATACACTCAACGCCATTTGCATTTAATCTCATCCATAGACCTGCGGTATACGGAGGTCCATGCCGCTCTGCTTCAAGTGGCTGTTTTAAAAGCATCATGTGTGATCTCAGGCAGCTTTTGCTTACATGTCCGACAACTCAGGTTTGTTTGTTTTCTTTTTTCAATAGAGGAACACAATTTTAACCCTCGCCGGCACAGGCCGTTTTGAGTCCTTCGACGGCACAAGGGGGGGGGGGGGTTGGTACGACCCCCCCTCGCGTTTGGCCCCTGATCGAGCTAGAGCTTCGCGGAAAAAACGAGCGTGTTACCCGTCACGAGAGGAAGCCGATGATACCCAATTTTAAGGTCCTAGGTCATCGGGTGACCTTCCAGGTCAGGTCAATGACCCGAAAACCGGGAAAATCGGGACCTGTTAGAAAGTCGTAAAGAGTGGCTGCTATGTGGTTTTCCGGGGTGCTGATCACGAATATCGTGTTAGTTTTGATCAGAGATGATGTCTTTAAGCATTTAGACCAGGTCGGGTCAGGTCAGGTCAGGTCAACCGGTAGGGGTTGTGACGGGTATTCGTAATACGTGTCAACCGCCTCGGACAGCTTCGTAACATGTTACGAAGGCACCAAAACTACTTCGTAAATGTTCAAATGGTTGCTAAATTCGAATTCAGCTCCAAAAACTAGCCTAGAAACATGTAAAACTCGAAAAAGTGAACCGAGGTCACCCGAGGTCACCAAAGGTCAATGACCTGACCTGACCTTCAGGTGACCTTGACACCCACCCTAATGCATGGGAGCAACATCAAATCACATGTTTGAACGTTTGAAACCACGAAAAGCTTGCAAACGCGCGGCTAATGCGAGCCGACATGCGCCGAACCGCGATTTCGGCCAAACATGGTCACAGAAAAGAGGTCACAGGTCAAAGGTCATTGGGGTCAGGGTCATGAAATTTTCAGGGTAGGTGTAAAATTGATCAATGCGAAGGTACTGAAAGTTTCGTGGCGATCGGCCGCTTTTTACGCGAGTTATTCGCGAAAAATCTTAGGGGGGGTGCATCAACCCCCCCCCCCCTGTGCCGGCGAGGGTTAAAGAATATTAGCACGTGCTCGGCGATCGGTGGTACGAGTAACCATCATATACCAATTTTCTTTTGGCGCGACTCGGTCTCGACTCCTTTCACGCCCTCTGTCGATCAGCGTCCTGCATGGGGTCAGTGCCGTGATTTCTTGCTGAAAGACGAGACGGACTGATGAAAGGAGGAGACAATGGGTTTGGAGGGAAGATAATGTAATAGTGGGGGAGTGGGGAGGAGGTGGGGAAAGATGGTCCCTCTGTGATGGTTTGTCAGCAAAGGGAAGGGTGCAGTTCGTGGGGCGCCGCCGCCTGTAGTCACTTCCACGTCAGTGCAATGTCTGGCCGGCCGCTAGGTGTCACTGGGTGTTTCATATGAGTCATGGGTTCACACAATGCCGCCGCCGAGTACGTACGGGCGTTTGCGGCGCCGATGTGTGTATGGCTGTGGGCCTCGCCGTTCTAATGAATCTTACAGTCTCATCCGATCCAGTAAGGTGCCATTAGCACGTGCTTGGCGATCGGTGGTACGAGTAACCATCATATACCAATTTTCTTTTGGCGCGACTC